CATGGAACCCTAGGATTCCTCCAGAGGTTGCTAGGGCTTCCTTGAGCTGTGGCTGATTGATCACCCATTTGATGTTGCCTGTATAATTCTTGGCAGAGCTAGTGGCACAACACCAATGTTCTTTTTAGCTGTTTGTAAGGGTGATATTATGGACTGCATTATTTCCACTGACCACCTATGTAAGAGGCATTTTCTTATGGATCCCAAATTAATTGTCTTTGCTAGCGGTTCACCTGGATCAGAAAGCAATAATGAGGGTTCCTCTGGGGCAGGGCTTAACAACTGATCGATTCCAATCTACTAGTAGACCGTGGCCAGGTTTCTGGTAGACCGCGGTCTGGGCTTGCTGACTCGCCATCACAGAGCATCAAGCAGAGCGCAATGGAGAGGGAATACTTGTAAAGTTGGAGCTGCAGTAAGGAGCAAGAGCTGCATAAGCTGATGCCTCTTTTGTAGTGCTGGCTCCTGTTCCATGCGGAGTGATACCAACTGCACTCCACCTCTTATCCCAGCTATTGGTCTCCAGAGTGGTGCCAGCAGCAGGAAAGAAGAGATCTTTAGGTCAGCGTGAAGCAATACACTGGGCATAATAGTATAGGGCTGCTTTCACACTCATGTGCTGCGTTTTACCCACACCTCAGGTGCAGTGCATTGTACCGGCAGCTGTTCTGTGGGTTTGCTGCTCTTAGCCTTGGCCTTTGTTTTTCAGAGGAGTGCTGGATATTATATCTGATCTGATATTATTATAATCAGCGTGTGTTTGACAGATGGTGAGGAGGCGATGTGTTGCCAACTCACCTCCTGATTTAAACCCATGATTGCTGTGCAACGCACAATGATTGCGACTCGGTAGTACAGCAATTAAAGGTTTCTAAATCCACTAAAATCACATAGTAAAACATTACTGTATCAAACCATCTCACATACATTTTGTCCCGAGTGCTTTGTCCTGTGCCCTGTCTGCATATTGACTTTTCTTTCTGCCTTGAAACTGAGAAATGTCCATGGCGTCCAAAAATCGTCCCTTTAGGTCAAAAGCGGTTTTAGACCAGCTAGAGAACAGCGATAGTAAATCAGAACCACTTGCAGAATTGAGTGATAATGATTCGTGGGGAAATTCGTCATCAGATACTGAAAACGATTTTGCGACTTTTGCTCAGTGATGTGCGAACTTGGCGCTATATTTCAAATTTCAGTGTTTTTGGTTTGATTATATTATTGAATTAAATGTATTATTATTGTATGATTATTTTTTATGATTATTTATTAAATTATAATTTATGATTTTGTGTTTCAAGTTTTAACATACCCGGGACTAGACTCTTGTTCAGACAGATTTCAGTGAGTTATTCCTAAAAATTACAGGCCTACAATAAAAAAACTACATATTTCCATGCAAAAAAATGTACCGCTTTGAGCACAGAAATACTGACAGAATTAGACCGCTAGGGAGGCTGCGGTTGCCTAACCCTGCTCTGGGGTAAAAATAATAGCAAAGGCTGGTTTGGACTGCACAGTTAGGGGAAGAACAAGTGTGCTGAAATTGCTGATAGGGAGTATTATGAATGTACCACTGTATTGATATGCTTGGGGAACAGAAAAATTAACTTTAAGCCCTGGCTCAACTGGTGAGACTTTGACAGTTTCAAATCGCACAAGTCCCACCTTATTGTTGGCAATAGAACCGTTCAAAACGGTGAAACGCCAACTTTGCGGTGCCACACCGATTTAAAGAAAAGGTTCCTGCACTATTTTTTGCAATTTCAGATGCGATTTGCATAGACATCTGTGCATGAAGTTGCACAGATGTCTGCCAAGTCGCACCTGAAGTCGCACTGACATGTGGCTTTGCAATCGCGTGACTTCAAAATCAGATCCAGCGTGAACCAGGGCTAAAAAAAGATAAAAGGATCAAAACACCAAGGCACACAACATACATAAATGGATTGTTTTCTTTAATAATGGCTGAGCATATACTGTAATGGATTTTTTCATTTTATTAACCATACTTCAGAGGCCAAACAAGATTTTTACTTTTTGACATTAGGTACCACAGCCTCTGAAGGAAACTGATACATAGGGGTGTTTTTATAAAAAAAATTTGCATAGCATTTCATCATATGTACATTTTTCCGTGCAATGTTTTTTAGGCTCTTTCTTGTGCTGGTTGAATGTTTTTTACTGATTCAAAACTAAGAATGCAGCAGTTCCTATGATACTTAGTGCCATCCACAATGGCCAAATTTTCCATTTTAAATCAAATATTCGACCAGCTCAGGAAACAACCTAATAACGTTCAGGTTTTTGTGTTCTACTCACACAAAACAAATGTGCATGCACTTTCAGTGAGTGGGCTAGGATTTTTTTTTTTTTAGAATATATGTGATTTATTTACTCAGCTTCCTCTTTTCTTTTCCAGCAACCTGAATTTTTGTGCCTTGAATTCAATGAAGCTAAACTGAATGAAATGTTGAAGAAATTGTCAGAAGTGGAGGAGAGCCTTGCTGCATTAACACAGATCAGTTAATCAAGCACATAGAATGTGTGTTTGTTATAATAAAGTATTATGAAAAAAACAACTTTGTGTGTTGGGATCTATAATAATCTGAGCAGACATCTTCCCTCCTTATAGATTACCTGCTTGTTGTCTTCACATTGCAATGTAAAGCTGGCCATACACGTGTAGATTTTCGTATGATTTCGAAAGATTTGTAAGAAAAGTCGTATGAACATTCGATGAATGGACAAATGTCATTTGAAAATTATCTTTTGCTTTTAACATTTGATTTTAAAAGGAATGGAATTTCTGAGCGATAACCACATACACTATCCGAAAACTTGTTTGATCGAGAAGTTTTCTTTCCTGCCCCTTTGAATTTTCCCATCACTGCTGTTGAAAACGAACATCGATTTGACCTCACTAACAATTAGAAAATCAAACAGATATTCTTGAAACGAAAAATCTAGAATGAAAATCAATATGTGTAGGGCCAGCTTTACATTTTTGTAGATAAATACTTTATGCTGTTCATTTATTACAGCCTGACGCCTCCATCACGCTACTGCGATTTTTCCTGTGTCTGCCTTCGCACTGCAATGCACGCATGCATAGAAATCACATCATTCTCTATGATGCCCATTCAAATCAATGTAACGCACACATGTACATGCATTCTTGGTGTGTTTTTACAGGGTTTTATGTTTAACAACCAGTCTCCTCCTACAAAAAAAAAAAGCATGAAAACGCATGAAAAATGCACCTAAAAAATACACTGAAAACTCATGAATATGCAGTAGCACTGGTGTGAACCTAGGCTCAGACAGTCACAAAAGACCAGGATTGTGTCAAATGCACTATGGATTCTATGATTGATTACCGATTTTTGCCATATATGCCTATGACCAAAACTCTGAGATACAGACAATGTGTAGAGGAATCCATCAAAGGTTTCACTTTACAAGAACTGGTGTTAAACAGAGCTTTTGCTGTGAGGAGGCAGTATTTTTCTGAGCATTGTCTGGAGGCCTAAAGAGACCCTGTCAACAACTTACAAAATTTTGGTTAAAGGCACAGAAAAAAATTAAGCTTTGGAAAATGCCAGGACAGTACATATATCCCCCAAGTGACCCCTTTTTGTAAAGTAGACAGTCCAAGGTACTTAGTAAGGGGCATGGCGAGTTTTGTGAAGTTATTTTTTTGTCACAATTTTTTGGAAAATTGTTACATTTAAAACAATTATTTTTTACATACTATGGTGACTGTGCAGTGGTGCAGTGTCATCATATAACTGGCGTGGCAGTGATCAGTATGTAGAAAAAAAAAAAATATTTTTTTTTTTTCTATCTGTCTTTAATACTTTTTTTTTTCTTTTTTACTACAATCTTTTGGGGGTTTTTTTTTTTTTACGATTTTTTTATATTCTATTTTTTTACATACTGTGACCAGAGCAATAACTTGTTACAATAGTAATACTGTACTACTCTGGGGAGGTGCAGCGCAGCCTGATCCTGGTAGGACGTTATTTGACATCCACCCAGGATAGAAGAATTCCCACCTAGCTAGTCTTAAAAATGTCCCCTCCCTCCTCCTAACACCTATGCTGACTCAACTGTGTAAAAGAGATATATACAGTACTACTGCACAAAAGCTAGGCAGTTGTGAAGAAAATGCTGTAATGTAAGAATGCTTGCAAAATTATATATTTTAATTGTTTTTTAATCAATTTACAAAATGCAAAGTGAGCGAACAGAAGAAATAATGAAATCAAATCAATATTTGGTGTTCTCCAAGGTGTTTAGATGAACTTACTGCAGAGTTCCTTCAAAAACTGAAAAACTGTGTGCAAGTGTACCTAGAAAAGTTGCTGCTGTTTTAAATGTAAAGGGTGGTCAAACCAATTATTGATTTGATTTGGATCTCTCTTCTGTTCATAAAAATAAACTATTAACACTTTTATTTCTGTGACCATTCTTACCGTATTTTTCACTCCATAAGACGTACTTTTTTCCCCCCAAAAAAGGGGGGGGAAATGTCAGTGCGTCTTATGGAGCGAATGTAAAGCGGCTAGTCCGGTATTTCTGCCACCACCATGTCAGAATATCGGGCCGGCCGCTCAGCTCTTCTCTCCTGCAGGACCTTACCTGTTTCTCGCTCCAGCGCTGCAGTCTTCCCACGGCGGCTTCTGTGACAGCCGGGTGCCCACTGTGCATGCGTGAGAAGCGCTGCGCTTTGTGAATGGTCTGGCGTCTTCTGGGACACATGACAGGTCCCAGAAGGCTCCGGGCCATTCACAAAGCGCAGCGCTTCTCGCGCATGCGCAGTGGGCACCCGGCTGTCACAGAAGCCGCCGCAGAAAGAAGGAAGGACAACTCCGTGGAAGTGGGAGCGGGTACCTGTCAAATTCAGGTACCCATTCCCCCTCCCTCCCCAAAGGTCTGCAGTCTCTGGTCATCTCCTTTACTGTCTGCAGTCTCTGGTCATCCCCTGCACTGTCTGCAGTCTCTGGTCATCTGTACTATGTCCACAGTCTCTGGTCATCTCCTGTACTATGTCTGCAGTCTCTGGTCATCTCCTGTACTATGTCTGCAGTCTCTGGTCATCTCCTGTACTATGTCTGCAGTCTCTGGTCATCTCCTGTACTATGTCTGCAGTCTCTGGTCATCTCCTGTACTATGTCCGCAGTCTCTGGTCATCTCCTGTACTATGTCTGCAGTCTCTGGTCATTCCCTGCACTGTCTGCAGTCTCTGGTCATCTGTCCTATGTCCACAGTCTCTGGTCATCTCCTGTACTATATCTGCAGTCTCTGGTCATCCCCTGTACTATGTCCGCAGTCTCTGGTCATCTCCTGTACTGTCCGCAGTCTCTGGTCATCTCCTGTACTGTGTCCACAGTCTCTGGTCATCCCCTGTACTGTGTCCGCAGTCTCTGGTCATCTCCTGTACTGTGTCCGCAGTCTCTGGTCATCTCCTGTACTATGTCTGCAGTCTCTGGTCATCTCCTGTACTATGTCCGCAGTCTCTGGTCATCTGTACTATGTCCACAGTCTCTGGTCATCTCCTGTACTATATCCGCAGTCTCTGGTCATCTCCTGTACTATGTCCGCAGTCTCTGGTCATCCCCTGTACTGTGTCCACAGTCTCTGGTCATCTCCTGTACTGTGTCCGCAGTCTCTGGTCATCTCCTGTACTGTGTCCGCGGTCTCTGGTCATCTCCTGTACTGTGTCTGCAGTACATTGGTTCAGAATATTTTTTTTCTTGTTTTTTTCTCCTCTAACGGGAGGGGGGGAAATTTGTTGTGTGTGTATGTATGTTTGGTTGTATGTCATGTATATAGATATATATACTATTATATAACCTAGGCGCGTCTTATGGTCAGGTGCGTCTTATGGAGCGAAAAATACAGTAATTTACATAATGTTTTCACAACTGCTTATAACTATTGCACAGTACTGTACATACTTGCCAGTTTTCAGCCTCATGTGATCACCGGAGTCAGCCAGCAGCAGCCACAGGAGAGAGGAAAGAATGCTCGGCAATGGCTGAGAGTTCTGGGAGTGGTGACATCACTCATAGGCTCCCATGTCCCAGCCAATGTCTGCCGCTGACTAACAGAGGGGGGGGGAGCCAGAGCATGTGACCAAACCAGAGCGGGCTGAAAATTATTATACAGTTATTATTATACAGTATTTATAAAGCGCCAATAGTTCGCTCAGCGCTGTACATTACAAAGGGAGACAGAACATGTGACAGAACAATACCAATACAATGTGATACACGAGGGGTTCGAGGGCCCTGCTCTTTCGAGCTTACAATCTAGGAGGGAGGGGGAAAAATAGTTGTGTGTGTATGTATGTATGTATGTATATATATATATATATATATATATATATATATATATATATATATATATATATATATATAAAATAAAAAAAATTTACACAGGTTAGCCAGCATAGATGTTGGAAGGGGGAGGGGACTCTATAATACTATTTAGGTTTAGGCTGGAATTATATACAAAAATATATGAAAATATATACACATATATACACACACACACACTGTATGTTGTAATGCGTTTTTATTACAAAATATATGACAAATTTTTTTAAACATACAGTGGGGATCGAAAGTTTGGGCACCCCAGCTAAAAAAATTTGTATTAATGTGCATAAAGAAGCCATGATACTGGCAGGTCTCAGCTTGGCAAAGGGGGCAGTACAAGATATTAACTCTGCAGGGTGCCCAAACTTTTGCAGACGCCATTTTTTTGTTTTCTGTTATTTTGAAAGTGTAAATGATGGAAATAAAATCTAACTTTTGTTGACATATAAGAATGTCTAATCTGTAATTTGATGCCTTTTGGAGATTTTTCCATCTTTCCTTGGCTGCTTTATGCACATTAATACAAATTTTTAGCTGGGGTGCCCAAACTTTCGATCCCCACTGTACATTTCAAATATACTGTATGTCTTTAAAAATAAAAATCTACATTTTTGGAATGCATTTACAAATATATGTAAAAATATATGTTAAAATGACTTTTTTATATGTTCAGAAAAATATGAAGAATATATTTAAAAAATATATATATTTAAAAAATATATATTTTTTTTAAATATGTTCTTCAGATTTTTCTTAACACGCATTTCAACATACAGTGTGTGTATATATCTATATGTATGTATGTGTGTGTGTGTGTATGTATGTATGTGTGTGTGTGTATATATATATATATATATATATATATATATATATATATATATATATATATATATATTGAATATGGCCAGAATTTTAGCATTTCAAATATGTCAATATATTTGGGAAGAATGTTTTTAAAATATATTTCAAATATATTTTTCTTCCATATGGGGGGTGGCCGAAGTTCTGTGTTTGAAGCCTAAAAGGGCTATTAATGGCCAGATCCAATATTTCTTATGATCCTTAGGCATGATCAGGCTGTTTAGGGCTAAACTAGAGACAATAATAAGTGCTTCAGACCATTGTGTAATCTCTGTGTGACCCGGCCAATCCTATTCTCTTACCAATGAAAAGGAGAATGAAGAACTTCATTTCATCAGGGAAGTCACACAGGAAGCCAAAGCAGGTTGCTCCACTAAGATGAGCAGCTTTCTCCATGCCTATAATTTTTTTTTTTTTAGACATCTGCTCATCTCTGGCTAGCCTTCCAGTTATTGTGTTGAAAAAACAAGCATTTACCTTAAAATCAGGTCACACCTAGACCATACAGTGAAGAAATTAACATCTCATTTTCTGTAAATAAACACGTAGAGAGTTAGCAGGAAGTAAATGAGCACATGGAGGTTAATAATAGAATTCAAAAGAAATCTAACAATAAAGAAGCCAGTAGTCCTATAGCCAAGACAATATTGTTTTCTTTTTTCTAGTGTAAAAAAAATTAAGTGTATGACCACATTTATGTATGAAAATAAAGTCCAACTTTTGCTTTTATAAAAATTCCTTTACATGCTCAGGTATACGTTTTTAATGGTAATTTATTTTATGTGTACACAGATATTAAAAACAAAAAATGAAAATTGGTTGCTGTGGATCAAAACAGTTTGCCAAGGGCCTCTCCCTCAAAACCCAAATGCTCCCTGGGCTGAATTATCTACTTATATCTTGAAGTGATGCCTACAGGAAGATCTCTGCATCCAAGCTGTCATGTACTGTCCATAGCCATAATGTCTCAACATATTTGACTTGTAATTCTGAAAAATGCAGCAGCAATGGTAGAAAGACTCTGTAGCAGGGGTTTTAAACACCTGCAATAGGTTGCTGCTAGTGACCCATAAAATTAGGGGATGGTTCAGACCACCTCTGTTCATTCATAACTGATGTATTAGTTGTGGACTGTTGACAGCTTAAATAAGCATGATTAAGTGTGATTTTTTTTTTTTGCATTGAAGGAGCTGAGGTGCCAAGTTTCAATATGAGTATAAATTCCCAGCAGGAAATATACATGCATGTGTGGGTGTTATGGTCCGGAGTCAGCCTGGGGGCCAGTAGCTATAGCAGTAGAAAGGCTCCAACTGACCAGCGGGAAAGGTATATAAACAGGCCACCCTAGAGGATGACGTGGGCTCACCCGAGATGCAGGGTCTAAGTACTACCAGTATTCACCAGAGCTTCTGATGGTGGAGATGGGTTTTGCTGCATGTTAATACCAGTTTGCTTTCCTCAGGATCACCCCACCAGGAGGTGAACAAGCTGCGGTCCAGTAGCAGATATGGCAAGTAGGGATCAAGCAGAAATTGTAGTTAGTAAACAAGCAAAAGAGGTTGGTAACAAGTTGTTGCAAGTTGGGATCAAGCAGAAGCATAGTCGAGGAACAAGCCAAAGGTCAGTAACAAGTGGTAGCAAAGATACAGATGGCAGCAGGATGACGAGCGAGATATTGGCTTGAGAGAGCATACAAAAATGCAAAGGCATGGCTTAAATAGGAGGTTCATGGGAGAAGCAAAGACAAGGTTCACAAAAAACAAGGTACAGGGCAAGATTGTCCAATCATGGATCAGACAGAGTGCTGTCCAGTATATCAGGTGACTCGGCAAGAAGAGGTACTACCAGACAGAGCCCATGTCCCGTGTTCAGATGCAGACCCTGATAGTGGGGTTGGAGGGTAGCAGTAACAGCCTAATAGAAAAGCATATGTGGAATACCAGTCCTCCACTGTTTATGCCTACTCCACAAAGGGATTCAAAAGGAGTCACAGTTCTAAAGGTAAGGTTTTGTGTAAGGCTAAAAGTATGAGGGAAAGGCCAACAGGAGTGCTCTTTGGGGTTAGTGTATGTACAGGCAAAACCTTTTTTTAGTTTTGGATGGAGTGAGAAAACCGTAACCCTCTGTCAAGTTTTTATTGCGGTCTGTGTCCCTATTGGTGGGATACACCCATCTATTTGTCCTTCTAGCCGTAGTCACTGGGAAAGAAAGTGAAGAGAAATCCAGAATTTTAGAGTTGTATCAAAATAACAGGTAATCGAGAAAGCTTCCAATGGGGACTTTTGTTACAGGAATAATTCTCTAAGAAGGAATTCCCCTTATTGTTGCATCTCTGAGAGGAAGTGAAGAGAAATTCCTCCAACAGTACACAGAAAAAAGGACAGGGTTTAAAACCCTTTCCTGCTCTATCCAAAACTTCTAAAAAAAAAACGTTTGGCTATACAAGTATTTTAAAGTGCCCTAAAATAGAGGGATGACCTGAAAATGTGTGCCTTCCTGGAGCAAAATGTAGTAGCAATTTTGGCAGACCAGAGAACTCCGGACACGGACTTGAGGAATACAAATGATTTATTAAAAACAGCGCTGTTTTGACCCAACAGATGGCTCGTGCTCTCATCTGCTAAGTGAGTTATAGAAAACCTCTTACAAGCGTATATACCATTGATTACATCACAAGGTACATTTCTTCTTTCACTTTCTATACACTCAAAAGTCTTCCTAAGCTCTACAGAATAACCTTTGACAGCAGCTACAGATAAGGGTCCCAGTTACTAGCTGGTACAACATAATACTCACAGGAAAGAAGGGAGGGGGAGTGAGCTGAAAACTGTGCTTTTACAAACACAGGCTGCTAGAAATGTTACAGTTTAAGGGGAACTCTACAATATCTGGGTGCTACCACAAAACAAAATACAGGCGTACCTCGGTTTACGACCACCTCGGTTAATGTAATTTTCAGTTTCTGAATGAAAATCCATTGAAAATAATGCCTCGGTTTAAAAATTTTTTTTCGCAATATGAAGCATTTATAGCACCAGCCCTGTGCCTTTAAAGTGCACTTTATAAAGAGCTTTGAACAGATAAGCCTTTTTTTTTTACTTTTTTCTGACCTCCAGAATGGATTTCTTGGTTTTCAATGCATTAACAATTTTTTTTTTTTTAACCACTTCCAGTCCGGACA